TGCCCTCCTCCAAATGACAGCCTTCCAAATATTTAATGACCAGTGTTCCCTCTAAGCTGACTTAGTGTGAGCTAGCTCAGTTTTTTAGCCTCCGGTTCACATATTTTTGTCTCGGTTCAGGAAGGGGGTTTCACATCACCTGCTGCCTGGTCCTTTTAACTGGAGCACTGAAGAGGGAATACTGCCGTGGACTAAGGAGAGTCCTTCCCCTAAAGGAAATGAAAGGTTTCGATGGGGGGGGCTCTATGGTATACCATAGTCTAGGAAAAACTGAAGCCCTGGAGTGACATTACATCCTTCTGCTCCCCAAATTCCACCGTCCCCAGACCCCACCAATGTTCCCTCTAAGCAGAGCTAGTGTGAGCTAACACAGTTTTTTAGCCTCCAGCTCACACCTTTTTGTCTTCGCTCAGGAAGGAGGGCTCCAGAACAAACTAATTTATGCAGCAGCCAAATGGCTCACTCAGAACTTTAATGCCAGGAGCTCACAAAGTCGAATCTTTGCCCACAAGACTCTACAGCTTAGAGCAGGGGTGCCGAACTCATTTGTTGTGAGGGCCGGATCAGACATAAATGAGATATCCAACTCAAACTCCCCTCTCTGTTGGCGGTCTTGTGGGGAACCTGGAACCTATATCCACTGTTGGTGTTCATGTAATGAAGTCCAGAGGTTCTGGTCCAAGGTCATCCTGTCCATTAAAAGTATTACAGGCCATCTGATACCTATGCAACCTGATCTGATACTGTTAGATCTTTGGAACAACCCACATATACCTAGACACAGTCAAGAACTTATTTCAGTTCTACTAACAGCAGCTAAAGTGGTAATTGCAAGTAGCTGGAAATCTGCAAACAAGCTGTTGCTCTCATTATGGTGTTTGAAAGTCTGGGACTACTACATCATGGATAAAATGTCTGATGCAGTGACCCCTAGTAACGTATCTTATCAAAAATCCAATCTCTACATGAAATGGTTTCCTTTCTTAGAATTTGTATTCAATACCGATCCTTCCAAATTCACAGTTCCTTCTAAATATTATGAAGTCTTTCATCATATGTAACTTAACGAATGATACATTTGCTGAACTTTTATAGCTGTACTAAGTACTATGGTACTCAATGGTTTCATGTTTGTATGTTGAATGTTGGTTTATAAAATAAAATAAAAATGTTTATAAAATGTGATGCCAGGTAGCAGAGATATGAACTTTATATAGGACACAAATACAAAGGGTGTTATTTTTACTTAAAATAAAAAACATGCTTAAAACATTAGCTCTGTAACCTGGAAACCTACTTTTGATTTATTGACATTCACCACAGAAATCTCATGCTCAGCGTTTTGACTCCAGGACCCCGGTTAAAACATGAAGTGGATGAGCGATTGAGAGAGTCTGGTGAAGCAAGCTGTGATTCAGCAGCAGCAGCAGCAGCAGAACTGGAAGCAGGAGATGGCCAGTTCCACTGCGGGCGGGGTGAAAGCCCTCCAGGGGCCTGATCCGGCCCTCAGGCCGCATGTTTGACACCCCTGGCTTAGAGGGTACAGCCCCACCCCCAAATTTTCCAACCCAAAGCCAGGAATTTTCCAGCCCAAAGTTGACAAACTTATCTATTAAGCTGTCCTTCATACAATTTGCTTTTGGGGTACTCCTCTGTGGCCTCTTTGACGGTGCCGTCTTCCCTCAGTTGGAGTGCCCACAATTGGACCTAGCATGCCAGGCGAATTCAGCTCCACAGGATCGGATCTCGATCCCGGCGCCTTGCCTGGCACTTCCCACCGCCCCGTCAACAGGTCGTACATTCCCTGGAAACTTACCAGGAATTTCATTCGATGCTGTCACACAATAGGCGTCCATATCTGAACACTTTACCTCTTTGCAGTTCTTGTGATACTGCGTACTATCGCATGTGTAACAATACAGAGATGATGCTGCAAGAGAGAGAGAGAGAGAAAGAAAGGAGGTTGTTAAGGTTGTTTCTTGTTGCTGTTGCCATCCAGTCACAACTGACTTATGGCGACCCTGTGGGGGTTTTCGAGGCAAGAGACAACCGGAGCGGGTTTGCCGTTGCCTGCCCCCCCCCCGCATCACAACCCTGGTATTCCTTGGTGGTCTCCCATCCAAATATTAGCCAGGGCTGACCTTGCTTAGCAGCCGAGATCAGATGAGATCGGGGTAGCCTGGGCTGTCCAAGTCAAGGCTTGCTGGGAGGGAACCCCAAGGGTCATCTAGTCAAACCCCTGCACAATGCAGGTAATTCACAACTAGCCCCCCCCCTCCTCCAGTGCCCAGAGGAAGGCAAAAACCCTCCAGAAGAAGAAGAGGAGGAGGAGGAGACTGGATTTATACCCCGCCCTTCACTACCCGAAGGAGTCTCAGAGCGGCTTACAATCTCTTTTCCCTTCTCCTCCCCACAACACCCTGTGAGGTAGGTGGGGCTGAGAGAGCTCTCTCGAGAACTGTCCTTGAGAAAACAGCTCTGAAAGAACTTGTGACTGACCCAAGGTCCCACCAGCAGCTGCATGTGGAGAAGTATGGAATCAAACCCGATTCTCCTGGATTAGAATCCGCACTCCTAACCACTCCACCAAAGTGGTAAACCATAATTGCACCCGTGTCAGAAGCTAGTTTACACTTCAGTAAATTTAGTCACTGCATTCCAGCGTGGTGTAGTAGTTAGAGTATCAGACGAGGGAGACCCAGGTTCGAATCTCTCATCGGCCATGGAGGCTAACTGGTTGACCTTTGAGCCAGCCTAGCCTACCTCACAAGGTTGTTGTGAGGATAGAACCGAGCAGTGGAGAAGGATGTCAGCCATTTTGGCTCCTCACTGGGGAGAAAGGTAAAGGTTTCCCTTGCTCGAAAGCCAGTTGAATCCAACTCTAGGGGTGTGGTGTTCGTCTCCATTTCCAAGCCGAAAAGCCAGCGCTGTCCGAAGACATTTTCCATGGTCATGTGGCCAGCATGACTAGACGCCGAGGCACACGGAATGCTGTTACCTTCCTACCGAAGTGGTACCTATTTATCTACTTGCAATTTCTTGCTTTCGAACTGCTAGGTTGGCAGGAGCCGGGGCCAGAGACGGGAGCTCACTCCGTCATGCGGCACACTCGGGTCTTGAACTGCCGAGCTACCGACCTTCCAGTCTGCGGCCCAATGGAGGATGGAGCCAGCCACAAGATGGCTTCCATGGGAGACGGTAAAAGGGAAAGGTTCCCTTTGCTCGAAAGCTAGTCGAATCCGACTATAGGGGGCGGTGCTCATCTCTGTTTCTGAGCTGAAGAGCCAGCACTGTCTGAAGATTTTTCCCATGGTCTTGTGGCTGGCGTGACTAGATGCCGAGGCACACGGAATGCTGTTACCTTCCTACCGAAGCGATACCTATTTATCTACTTGCAATTTCTTGCTTTCGAACTGCTAGGTTGGCAGGAGCTGGGACCAGAGACAGGAGCTCACTCCATCATGCGGCACACTCGGGTCTCGAACTGCTGAACTACTGACCTTCCACAGCCTACAGTTCAGCGTCTTAACCACTTGAGCCACCGTAGCTCCATCAGAGTCTCATAGCCGCTTACAATCTCCTTTCCCTTCCCCTCCCCACAACAGACACCCTGTGAGGAAGGTGGGGCTGAGAGAGCTCTTGACAGAAACTTGTGACTGACCCAAGGTCACACCAGCAACTGCATGTGGAGGAGCGGGGAATCAAACCTGGTTCTCCCACATTAGAGTCCAAGCTCCGCACCACTACACCACTACACCAAACTGGCTCTCCTTTGGGGTCAGGAAGGAATTTTCCTCCAGACCAGATTGGCTCAGGGATCCTGGGGGGATTTAAATGCCTTTCTTTCCCTTCCCACTAACGCTAAACTTATTTGACAGCCTTTCAACATGCCTCCGACCCTTCTTTACGTTTTCAGATGCACTGAAACCGCACACTTAGGCTCTGTATCGGCGACACCGGGAGGCTTGAAGCGTGGGTCTGCTCAGCATGTACATTATAACCAACGTTCCCTCTAAACTGTGGAGTCTTGTGAGCAAAAATTCTACTTTGTGAGCTACTGGCATTAAAGTTGTGAGTGAGCAAATAGGCTGCTGCATAAATTAGTTTGCTCTGGAGCCCTCCTTCCTGAGCTAAGACAAAAATGTGTGAGCCGGAGGCTAAAAAACTGTGAGCTAGCTCACACTAACTCAGCTTAGTGGGAACACTGATTATAACCTGAAACTATGTGTCATGTTCCTGTTCCGAGTCATGGATAATAACAGCACACAGTCCCTTGTCACCTGGCGAAACCGTCTGTCAATCCACACATTTTCTTTCCCCTGCTGTCGATAGACTTGGGTGGCCCAGGCTAACCCAGTCTCTTAAGAACATAAGAGAAGCCAAAGCTGGATCAGGCCAGTGGCCCATCCAGTCCAACACTCTGTCACACAGTGGCCAGAAATACCAGGAGGTCCACCAGTGGGGCCAGGACACCAGAAGCCCTCCCACTGTTGCCCCCACCCAAGAATAATTGAGCATCCCTTGCCCCAGACTGAGAGTTCATCTCAGTACCTTGTGGCTAATAGCCACTGATGGACCTCTGCTCCATATTTTATAAGAACATAAGAGAAGCCAATGTTGGATCAGGCCAAGGGCCCATCCAGTCCAACACTCTGTGTCACACAGTGGCCAGAAATACCAGGTGCCGTCAGGAGGTCCGACAGTGGGGCCAGGACACTAGGAGCCCCCCCACTCTTGCCCCCACCCAAGCACCAAGAATACAGAGCATCCCTTGCCCCAGACCAAGAGTTCCTATCTATGCCTTGTGGCTAATAGCCACCAATGGACCTCTGCTCCATATGCTTATCTAATTCCCTCTTGTAGCCGTCCGTGCTTGTAGCCGCCGCCACCTCCTATGGCAGGGAATTCCGTGTGTTAATCACTCTCTGGGTGAAGAAGGACTTCCTTTTATCCGTTCTAACCTGACAGCTCAGCAATTTCATGGGGTGCCCAGAGATCATCAGATCTCTGAAGCTAAGCAGGGTCGGCCATGGTTAGTATTTGGATGGGAGACCACCAGGGAAGCGCAGGGTTGCCCTGCAGAGGCAGGCAATGGCAAGCCACCTCTGAACATCTCTGGCCTTGAAAACTCTACATGGATGCCGTTAAGTCGGCTGGGTCTTCTACTCTCATCATAGTTATATCCCGTCTCCCACCAAAGAGCTCTGGGTAGCCGACATCTTTCTCCCCTCTTCTGTTTTACCCTCACAATGACCCTGCAAGGTAGGTTAGGCAGAGGGAAAGTGGCAGGCCCCGACCCCCAGGTCACCTGTGTTGCCATCCTACACAGAGGGGTATCCTTCTAAGCCCACCGGCTTCAATGGATTTAGAGGGGTGGTGGCTCAGAGGTTAAGACGCTGAGCTGCAGACCGGAAGGCCGGTAGCTCGGCAGTTTGAGACCTGAGTGCCACGTGAAGGAGTGAGCTCCCGACGCTGGCCCCAGCCCCTGCCAACCTAGCAGTTTGAAAGCAAGAAATCGCAAGTAGATAAATAGGAAGCGCTTCGGCGGGAAGGGAACAGCGTTCTGTGCCCCTCGGCATCTAGTCATGCCGGCCACATGACCACGGAAACATCTTCGGACAGCGCTGGCTCTTCGGCTTGGAAACGGAGATGAGCACCACCCCCAAGAGTCGGGTATGACTAGCTTTCGAGCAAGGGAAACCTTTAAACTCTGCTTAGAGTTGTACTGTTGGTGAGCGTCATGGCAGAGTAGGGATTTGAACACAGAACTCTACAGTCCTAGTTTGATAACACTAACCAGTCTGCCTGCATCATGTTTCCCTTTTAAAAGCGCACATGGCGGCAGAAGAAAAGGGGAAGAACAAAGTGGCAAGTCTGGGCAAATGCCGGGGGATCGTGTGCAGCTGTCTTGCGATGAGATATCTGCATGGCGTTTTGCAATAAGATATGCAGAGTTACGCTGTTGCCTGTTCGGAATAATTATCCACAGTGGCAAGGATGCCATTTTTCACTTCTGGAGCAAAGAAACACAGATCTCCCTGCACCTCGAAGGACATCATAACTTTCCCCTTACACCCCCTACGTGTCAGCCAAGGGATGCCAGCCTCCAGGTGGGCCCTGGAGGGCTCCCGGAATTATAGCTCATCTCCAGACTACAGAGATCAGCTCCCATGGGAGAAATCATAGAATCATAGAATGTTAGAATTGGAAGGGACCTTGCAGGTCATCTAGTCCAACCCCCTGCACTCTGCAGGAGCATAGCCAAAAGAGAGCCCTACATACCTACAACATACCCGAAAGATGGTCGTCCAGCCTCCGCTTAAAAACGCCCGGCGAAGGAGCATCCACCACCTGCCGAGGCAGACTGTTCCACTGCTCAACCACTCTGGCAGTTAGGAAGGTTCTCCTGATATTTAGCCGGTATCGACTCCCTTGTAATTCCCTCCCATTAGATCTAGTCTTGCCATCCGGAGCGAGAGAGAATAGATCCGCTCCATCTTCCACATGACAGCCCTTCAGATACTTGAAGACTGCAATCGTGTCCCCTCTAAGCCTTCTCTTTCCCAGGCGAAACAGACCCAACCCTTTTTGCCTTTCCTCGTAAGACTTGAACTCCAAC